TTGGCTCACACCCCCAGCCAGCTCCACCCTGATTGGCCCTCCACACACCAATAGGGTATGGGGTTTGCTGGCCCACCACCCACAGCCCCTCCCTATGGCCAGCCTCACCCCTAATCAGTTCCCCCACCCCAATTGGGGCTGGGGTCCACTAGTCAATTGCCTGTGGCCCTTCTCCTCAGCTGGCCCAGCCCTGATTCGGCCCCAATCAGATTGGGCCAGCCAGCCTACCTCCTGCTGTCTCCTCCTCTCAACAGGCCTGATACCAATCTGCTGATTAGGGCCGGGCTGGCCGGACGCCCCCTGTGTATGAATTCATGCACTGGGTCTCTAGTAAGTTTATAAAACTATAAAGATTATATCATAAGTATGAATATGTACATATTGCTGCTTTACAATCCTCAACCAATTTTTTCAGTGAGCCCTCCTTATAACAACATGTTTTGGTTGCAATTTAATTGAGAGAGAGAGAGAGAGAGAGAGAGAGAGAGAGAGAGGTAAAAGGCATAAAATGATTCACATACCAACTGGTAAGAGCATTCTAAACGTGACTCATGTAGCTTGAGGCTCTTGCATTTCTCTGCAAAATCTAGTAACTCTTCAACTATGGTTTGTACTTCTTCATAAGTGGATTTCTGAAGAAACTGAGCAACCATAATGCTAATGCTGAAACATGACACTGTGAGTGTTAAAGATAGAATTGAACCCTTTTCCACCATCATTCTTGTTATCTCGTTGTCCCACTCCCCTCCCTCTAAATAATTAATGTGATTTTAAGTTTCAGATAAAAGTATATTGATAATAAAACTCACATGTCTCTTAAGTTCTCCTCCAGATAATTCTGGCTATTAGAGTGCTGTATGGCTGAGGTGGAGGGGTAGGGGGAGAAAAAGAGGCTTTATATGTATAACAGGAAATTTTTCAAATTGAAATCCCCTTTATAGTTCTGAAATCTATATTTATTCACTCATAAATTTTCAGATGTATTTTTGATTATCATAATAAATTTTAAAAAGTATTAGAATATATCTTTGCTTGTACTTAAACTGTATTCTGTGAATGACATTCTCTCACCAAAGTGAAAATAAGACTAAAATGAGGTCTTCCTGTGGATTGATTCAATATATTAGCTCTCTTCATTCATTCATTTCATAAGTTAATTTACATCAATTTTCAATGACCCAATGATAGTAATGAGCACTGAGAAAGAGAAGTCATTCCATATGCATTTTAGTAGTCATTACCTCCTACTAGTACTCTGGGCACATGGAATGTATAGATTGGAAATAGGATTCCCTACCTGCATCTAGTAAACTTCTCTGAAGAGTTTGACCTTTAATGTAGCTGAAGAAAGCAAGAAAATATATGAATCTAACAGTCTTCATTTTTTCAGACAAACTTTTATGAAAGGTACTCTATCATTTGAGGGAACTGAAGAGTCCCCTTATAGTCCTTTAAATTAGTTAATATTAATAATTAAACTTTTTCTGGTGAATATTTTTCCAGGCCACTGTGACACTGATCAAGTTGAAGAATTCATAGCAATGATGAAATGTTGATGGATAGCCATTCATTAACGAATACTGGATTTTAAAATGAGTTATGTCAATGTACTTGTTTTTTCAAGATTACACCATGTAGACCTTGCAATGAAGTAATCAATAACACTTTGGGTAAACATCTCTTTTCCTAGAAATGTCTGCTGACAAGGTCAAAGTTCTAAAGTGAGGGGAGAAGATAAATATGAACTACCCCCAATTCAAATAAATGGTTAAGGCCCCAGTTCCAGTGCTAGACACCTTTCAAGCCCCTGAAAAATTAGGGAGCACAAGCCTTTGGAGAAAGCACGAGGGAGTGGGATTGAATTGACTGAATGCTTACTGTGAGTCTGGCACTTTATATTACCATATACTAGCAATACTCTTTCTTGAATAAGGAATTAAGACTCAGGGTCATATTATTTGCTCATGTATTCACAGGTAGAGATGAAGGCTTGTCTGACTTCAGAGCCTATACCAGCCAAGAGCTGGTATCAAAAGCTGAGGTCCCAATATTCCTCAGCTGCTGTCTGCTTGCCTGTCATTTAATTCTTGGGTCTAGGGAAGGAAACACTGATTAAATAAAAATTCTAAAATAAATGTAAAATCCACAATTTTTGGAAATGAGAGATCACTGGTTACTTTAATCATTCCTGTCCTCAGTTCCCTCATCTACAGAGGGAGGGTTTGGACCAGGCCATCTCTAAGGCTGGTAGTTCATTGCTTGATTCTACTACACACATATTATCATTTCTGGGCTTCTAGGCAAAATATATCACTACTGAGAGAGATATTTGTTTGAAAAGCAAAGCAAAACTGTCATTATTTAAAATTGGGACACATTGGCTAATGTAAAGAATACTGATGGCCACGTGTGATAGAAAGCCTGGGTCAGCGAATGGAAGTGTCTGGCAGGTTTCCATCATCATTTTCAGGGTTCTCTAAATAGTCCCAATGCTCAACAATTCTTTTGTTGTGCATCCTTAGAGCCCTTCCCTTGAGATCTTACTCTAAACCTCTGGGAACTATCAGAAATGGTTCTATTACTCTAGGGATGGCATTACTAATTGATGATTGCATTCTTTCTCTCTGAACCTACACTCAGCCTTAAAATCATTCACAGCACAATGCCACAGGACAGCCACTAGTAACTGATTGGAGTTGGAACTTGTTGTATAAATGGGCAAAATTAATTCGTCTTTTTAGAAAAATTGAATGAAATTAACTTCCCAGGAGAACCATCCGCTCAGAGTAGGACTTTTGAAAACATAAAAAAATGTTAAGCCTGATGGTGGAATTTCAGACCAGAGGAAAGGCAAGTAGTGGGGATTATTTAAGGAAGGGTAAGGAATGAGTTTTGTGACAGGGCTCAAAAGACAGCAAATAATTTGGTCCCTAAGAGAATTAGATCTTCAAGCTGACCTTTAATATAAGAAATGGAAGGTATACAGGTACAGAACACACTGATAATTTCTAACAAATGTTATTTGCGCAGCAAACTTAATCCTTGTCCAACTAATAGAAACAGAGTTCAAAGGATCTTCAGAAAAACCACGACTGGATCCCTAAGTCCCACCAAAAATCTGGGTGATGATGGCTCATGCACTCATTGGTCTTGACACTCATTAGTGCATTGGTCTTGACACTCATTGTAGGCTTATCACACTTACAAGCATCTCTATTACCAGAGCATTCTTCCTGCAGCAAGTCTAGGTATGTATTACTCCTTGATGTGGGTTTTGTCTGAGCAATACAGAATAAGTGGTTCTGAGTCCTCTCTTCTCCATGCAAAATATGTGTTTTGAATAAACCATTCCTCCCCCTTCTCACATCACATTGTTCAATATTAGTCTGGTCTCTGGCACATCAGCAGAGAGTTGTATGGCAGTTTCCTCTGTGATAAACAGTCTTGTGATGGTAACAGGTTTCTGGGGCTCAGGTGTCATAGCTGCTGCTCTTAGCATAGTATTGGACACAGAATAGGATCCACTATTAGATACAAGATAGAATTAGCTAATTATGCTCCTTTTCACTACTGTTGACTGAATTTATAATCTACTAGTGGCCTGCTGTACAAAAGTCATGCATGGGGGAGGGGTGTCCCTCAGCCCAGCCTGTACCCTCTCCAATCTGGGACCCCTCAGGGGATGTCCAACTGCGGGTTTAGGCCCACAGGGATTGGGCCTAAACCAGTAGTCGATATCCCTCTCGTAATCCGGGATTGCTGGCTCTTAACAGCTCACATGCCTGCTTGCCTGATTGCCCCTAACCACTCTGCAGCCAGACTGATCGACGCCTAATTGCTCCCCTGCCAGCCTACCCCTAATGGCCCCCCCCACCAGCCTTATAACTCATAATTGCCCTCCCCTGTTAGCCTCTAACCGCTTCTACCTCAGCCACGCTGCCATAGCTTTGTCCAGAAGAATGTCCAGAAGGTCTCCTGGAAGGTCTCCCAGTACAATTAGCATATTACCCTTTTATTAGTATAGATAGAGGCCTGGTGCATGGGTGGGGACAGGCTGGTTTGCCCTGAAGGGTGTCCTGGATCAGGATGAGGGTTCTCTTGGGGGGCGGGGCAGCCTGGGCAAGGGGCCTGTGATGGTTTGCAGGCCAGCCATGCCCACATTGGGGTGGGGGTCCCCGCTGAGATTCCTGGCCAACTTGGGTGAGGGGTGATGGCTGTTTTCAGGCTGGCCACACCCCCTTTAGGGTGGGAGTCCCTGTTGGGGGCCCTGACCAGCCTGGATTAGGGGCTGAGGGCAATTTGCAGGACCCTCCCTTGGCAGCACACCTGGGCAACCTAAGCCTCCCTCCTGCTCAGGCCAGCTCCATGGCTGCCACCCTCAGGCCCCTTCTTCAGCAGCCAGCTTAGACACGTGGGAAGCTTGGCTTCCTCTGTCACTGGGGGTGACCTAAGCCTCCCGCTGGCTCTGGCTGGCTCTGTGACAACCACCATCTTTGTTCCGCTAATTTACATATCCCCTCCTGACTGGCTGTGGTATGCGGAGGTAAAGTCAATTTACATATTTGTCTATTATTCGTGTAGATTATTTAAGTAAAATTTTCTTCCTTGTTATTCTCATTAGTAAATGAGAGTGTTTAGAAAACTGACTTCCCAGTTCCTACCACTCCCTCTGTTTAGACATCACTGCCACACACAGCTCCAACATCACAGCAATTGTGGCTTGGAAAGGAGGGAGAGAAGAGTCACTGTCAGTCTTCCTTCTCTCTAAATAACAGATTTTATAAGGCATACAATATGGCCATACCTGAGAGGTTGTGTGTACCTGGCTAAGAATATCCTTCTGGAATTAGAGGATTACATGTCATATGACACTGAACAAATTAGTTATCTCTCCAAGCCACAGATTCCCTATTTGTAAAATAAGAATAGAAATGATGTATACTTCATAGAGTTGTTAGGATTAAATGCGATAATGCATGAAAGGTACCTAGGGACAGTGTTTGGTACATGGAAAACATTAAGTGCCAATAGGTTATAGTAGTAGCAGCAGCAGCAGCAATGCTGGGTGCTCTCAACTCCCCTTTTCCTTGCCAATAGCAGCAAGAAGAGGATCTGGGAGTATTATGCCCACACCTTTGCTATTTTGAATTCTGCCTTCTATGGAATAGATTTAGCCAGTGAGCCAGAGATATTGATTGAATAAGAGAATCTTGATTGTTTAATTTTATCAGTTTGACACATGATATCAGTCTTTGAGAAATAGCTCTATATTTTGTGTTATAATAACATTTTATGTAAACGTTCTTTTTACTGTATTCTTCTCAGAAAATGAAATTCCAAGACAGCTGGAAGTGGGTAAATTGGTCTTCCTCTCTTTTCTCCACAACCTGGGAAGAAAAAATAGTATCTTATGCAGCAAAAGAATATGAAATATTATAGCTTAGGTAATGGAAAGTCATGTATATAAAAAATAGCTAATGGTAACTCTGTTCTGCCTCTTGTAGCTACAAACCTACTCCCTATGGTGGCCAGGTCTCTCTTCCTGGGCACTGAACATCATTGCCATATCTATGCAACATTTTTTTCCTAAAATTTGTATATGAATCTTACCTAAAGTGCAGAAGGAAGCACATCTATATATACATTTTTGAAATCACAAGCATTGCTTTTTATTTATGTAAATGCTGCAGTAAGACTCTTGGAACAGGTTGGCTGAGGCCTGTCTGCCATCCCAACCCCTCCTCTCTCTGTCAACATCCAGACATCTGATGGCCTCCCCTTTCTGGTCCAGAGAGCTTAGTGCAACAGCAGAGGCAGAGGAGTGGATTCCTTGGGGTTATTTAGAAAACTGCTTGGACTGTAAGAAGTGCCGGCTCCGAGGCAGCAATGCCAGTCCATTAGGAGTGGTAGACGCCCAGAGAAACATCCCAGGATCAATATCGGGGTCTGTCAGTACAAGGAATATGGGATTAACCAGAAATAGACATGGCAGCTCAAGAGGGGAGAAGCCAGGACAATTAGAGAAGCTACAAATACAATTGGCATTTAATGGGAATGTTACCTTTGTAGTTTTTTATGTTTCTCAAGAAGCCTGGTTTTTGGCTGCCAATTTTGGACCCTAAGAGGGGGAAACAAAAATAAACAAACAAACAAACAAATAAATAAATAAATTAGTTAATTAAAATTTAAGACATTATTATTAATTTTAAATAGATTTTTATTGATTTTTTACTGAGAGGAAGGGAGAGGGATAGAGAGTTAGAAACATCGATGAGAGAGAAACATCGATCAGCTGCCTCTTGCACACTCCCTACTGGGATGTACCCACAACCAAAGTACATGCCCTTGACCGGAATCAAACCTGGGATCCTTGAGTCTGCAGGCCGACACTCTATC